TGAAATATAACGTGCTATTATTGAGACTTGCATCTCACGTGTAATAATAGATCTAATTGAAAAGAAGAAGAAAATTTTGCCACCCCATCCTATCGCACGTGGTATTAGCCAAGCGCCGCCGCCGCAGCTGTCGGCCATAGTCTTGGAGCTTCGACAATCAGGGAAAGTAAATCGACCTTTCAATCCTGCAGTGTGCTATCCTTGCCGTTTCTTGGCAGATCAGTCTTGCCGTTTCTTGGCAGCCCCTGTGATCAATAACTTAGGTTTGCTTCTTTGGAGTAGTAGTTATTCTTTCGGTTGCCTAATCGATCTGCTTGGGCGTATAGGTTTCATATATAAAACCACTAACCGAGATCTAAAAGACATCCCGCAGCTAAACCTGGCATCCTTTGTCAACGCATGTGTGGAGCTACAGGTATGCTACTTTTGCTCCAGGTACGTTGCTCTTGCTGCACGCGCAATCTTTGGCGGACGGCGAAATCTCTGTCTACATTAATCGCTCTGTTCGATTTGGTTGATTTGGCTTATAAGCCATGGCTGAAAGTACTGTAGCTGGTTTGGTGTGAGAGAAAAATATTGTTCGTTGGTTGATAAGTCATGGCTTATAAGCCAAATACGACCAAATGAACAGGCTGATTGTTGGCATAGAAAAAGTGCCATATGCTACTCTCGCTCGCTCATACCACCATGCACCCCCGCCAATCTCTCTGCTCCGCAGTTTTGGCCATACACATATGCAAATTAAAGTAAAGAACAAATATATCCCATGTTTACTGATAGGATTGAAGGAGGGAAATAGATGATAAGATGAGACGACCTATTTGAAAAAAGGTGCACCATATCAGAAGGAAGAACAAAGAATGCTAATCACCATTTATATTCCTAGAGTTTATTGCTTTAAAAATACATTCTTCAGCAATACTTTACAACCGATTAGGAAATCATATTTAAATTACATTGCCATATGTTATTTAATGATCCATGTATAATCCATGGACATGTTACTAAAGTATTTATTAGTAGAGAAACATAAGTAAATGAAGTAAAATTTGCAAAAATAATATATAACCACATAAAATATTTACATTGAACAAAAATTAATTAACAGAGCCTCCGTATTAATTTGAACTAGGTACATTAGAAAATAATAAATTTTAGAAATTGTAACAATAATAAGAAACATCTAGCCTTTCATTTGGTAGATTCCAACCATCATCATCAACAATAGATATTGGATCTATTTGTTTTATAAAAAAGTATCCAGATCTGACATTATATGAAGAATGCATAAAGTAAACCCTCTAATTTGCGTCTAAACTACTCACCTCTGTAGTTATGAAAATTCAGTCAAAATAATCCGCTAAATTTGAATCTAAATTAACCACTTCCTCCATTATAAAAGAATTCAAAATAACTCCCTAACTTTGTATCTAAATTACACACACATCTATCATTACAAAAGATAACTTAAAAAACCGCCTAATACTTTTTATAAATTATCCACATCTCGCATTAGGAAAGATAATGCAAAGTAACCCATGCATTCCAATTACCCATATTTGCAATTATGAAGTAAAATATAAATTAACACACTTAATTTGTATCTAAATTACTCACCACAACCATCCTAAAATTAAACAAAAATATGTCTCAAATCTACATATAAATACTAAAATGAACTATCAAGAAAAATAATTTAATACCCATAGAGTATGCGATCACAATTCTACAACTGTTAAACTATAAAAGTATGCATAATTATATGTTCCACTGTGTAGACCACGTAAATAGGTACACGGTAAGATAAATATTTATTTTAATAGTTTATCAAGTGTGTAAAAATGTTCCCATCACAAACCACATAGCAAAGACAGTGATAACTAACTTTCGGTTATATTAACAATAATGCTCTATGATATATAATAAATTTCATAAGTTGTTATTCTAAAAAAGTTTATAAATTTTCGTTGAAATATAATAACTTATCAATATTAGTAATTCAATTTTAAGCACACTATATTTTATAAAACAATGCTATTACAAATAAAATTATGTGATAGTGTCGCGGTGCAAGGTGAAACGTCTATTTATACAATTGTAAGAATCGGGAGACTAACCTAGGACCTATAATGTTTTTAATAAAATATTGAAAATTTTGAATAAAATATATGATAGGCACTAGAACTTCAACTTAACAAGCGGATAAAAAGAATGGCAATATATAGATTAAATGTTGAATTTAAAGTATAGGTTCATGATGGCACACAGAGGTATGGAATAATAGCATATATAACATAAGCTTATGTTTCCACTATATAAGTATTGCACTTCTGAAAAATATAAATCCCGTACATTCTAAATAGAGGTCCCCAATGAAGCCTCCATGTTATTCCCTACGAAGCCCACTAGAAAAAAGATATTCTAGAAATTCTCACAAAACTCAGAAGCATCCAGCCATCAATTATTTAGACTATAACCAACAATGACAATGATAACCATAGGATTTATGTTATTTTGTTAATAATTACGCACATCGATGAATGTGTAAATCAATATAAGGTAACCCATGAATCTTTATTAGATACATAATATATGTAACCCCTGAAATTTACATCTAAAATATCACTTCTAACATCATTAAGAAACTAAAATATCTTCTTAAATCTACATCTAAATTATCAATATATTTTATTGCAAAAAATATTTAAATAACCAAAAAGCTTATATATATGTTTCAATGTTATCCACTTCTACTAATTGTGATTGTGAAATATTAAAATTTGATTAAAGGAAACATACATATTGTGCCATCATGCAGGTCAAATACATGTGTTACGTTTCAACAATCATGGAAAATATTTTCTACATTAATGATACTAACAAATTATTTAAAACTATTAATAACTATGACATATAAATTATACATGTTATTACTTTAGATAATTTACACACTTTAACTAAAACATTTGACATATGTTTGTTAATATTATAACCATTACTGGCATAAATAACTCTTTGGCAACAAAATTCAAACATCTTGACAAGTGGGGAGGATAGTGCAGACTACAAGTGGCTGTATCTTCCTGTTCTTTGAGATTCCTTCGGTGCAAATAGTCATAAGATAGAGATGAAAAGCAAATAGATCAGTAATTGATAAGCAAATAGATGAAAAACAAATACATCATTGTACTTAAGGGTGCAGTCTATGACCTAATAAAGTCCTTATGTAGCAATCAATAAGGCTAATAATTGAAAATCAAAATTTACATTCTCATGATGTCATAAGATATAGATGAAAAGCAAATAGATCAGTAATTGATAAGTTTATCAATAACAAATAGACACTACAAAATATCTATTACGCTTATAGTGTAAGAAAATAGACAAAGAGGAAAATGTATAATTTAATACAAGTAATTTTATCATATAGGGACATTAAACAATAACTAATGCTTATATCTCTTATAAGATTCTAGCCCGTGTGAGAGCACGGGCTGATAGACTAGTATCCATAGCCGCCATAAAAAATATTGAAACGATGGTTCGTCATGTGGCGGACACACATAGTTGCCAAATTCGTGGTTCTGTTGGAAGCTCCCTATAAGATCCAGTCTCCCGATAAGTATGCTTATCACACATGCATCACAATTCACAACGCAAGCAAAGTGCCGGTCACCGTACCATTCACCAACATGCAAGATGGTTGACTTTCGATAGTTTTTGCACCATCACTACTGGATTCAGGCGCTTTGCCGGGTGCCGAATGCACCCGGCAAAGGCTACTTTGCACTCGGCAAAGCCTTTGCCGGGTGCAGCACTCGGCAAAGAGCCTCCGGCAAAAAGTTAGTCGGCAAAGATTTCTTTGCCGGGTGCTTTTTATCGAACCCGGCAAAGACTTCGCCGAGTGCAAACCCGGCACCCGGCAAAGAAAAGTGGTCGTTACGGCGCCGGCTCCGTCATCCCTTGCTTTGCCGGGTGCCATATCAGAGGCACTCGACAAAGATTTTTTTAATTTTTTTTTTCAAATTTTTTCTTTGCCGGGTGCCGTGCCGGGGAGGCACCCGGCAAAGATGTTTTTATTTTTTTTATAATTTCTTTGCCGGGTGTCTCACCGAGAGGGCACCCGGCAAAGAGTTTTTTTATTTTTTTTCATAATTTCTTTGCCGGGTGCCAGGTCATGGGGCACCCGGCAAAGATTTTTTTTTTGAAAAAACTTTGCCGGGTGCCCTGGTCCTGGCACTCGGCAAAGCTAGAAATTCCTTTCTCGAAACTTAAAAAGGCAAAGAAATTTAAAAAAAATTTAAAAAAATTCTTTGCTTGGATCTTAGTCGTCACCGGCACCCGCAAAAGGGTCGTGACTAAAAGGCCGGTCCAAGCAAAGAAGCCTTTGCTTTGGGTGCCGTCATGAGGCACCCGCAAAGAAATTTAAAAAATTCTTTGCCGGACTAAAAAGGCCGGCCCAAGGCCCGTGACTAAAAAGGCTTTGCCGAAGCCTTTGCCGGTCCAGTCATGGGACACCCGGCAAAGAAATTTAAAAAAAAATTAAAAAAAATTCTTTGCCGAGTGCCTAACGGCGTGGCACCCGGCAAAGGATGACGGCAGCTGGCCGCCGTCAAGCCGGCCACCTTTGCCGGCGGCCATATTTTGCCGAGTGTCCGGCACCCGGCAAAGACTATTTTTTGCCGACGGCTAGAATTTGCCGAGTGCCAGCACCCAGCAAAGGCTGCTTTGCCGGAGGCCTTTATTTGCCAGGTGCCTCCAGGCCTAGCACCCGGCAAAGAATTCCTTTGCCGGGTGCCCGATAAAAAGCACCCGGCAAATTTTTTTTCTTCCGGCAAATCAGCCGTTTCCTGTTGTGCATGAAGGACAGGAACAGGCTGTTCTTATTTGGATCCTAGCCGCCACTGCATGCATACAGCGGTGTAGCGTGTGTGGTGCACGTGGGCGGCAGACTGCAGTTATATATATCACAATTCACCAACAGGGCAGACTCGGATCCGATGGCCATTCTAATAGTACTGGCCATCTGCCTCTCTGCTGCCCTCTTGCCGGGTGCGGCCGACTCTGCTCTAATCACCAGAGCAACAAACGCTAATGGCAGCCACAGCGACCACGACGCACTGCTGGCTTTCAAAGGCGAGCTCGCTGATCCCACCGGCGTCCTTGCCCGGAGCTGGACAACCAACGTGTCCTTCTGTCGATGGCTTGGAGTCTCGTGCAGCCGCCGCCGGCAGCGTGTCACGGCTCTGTCGCTGCTGGATGTTCCCCTGCAAGGGGAGCTCAGCCCACACCTCGGTAATCTTTCCTTCCTCTCCATGCTCAAGCTCACAAACACCAGCCTCGCTGGCTCCGTCCCTCCCGAAATCGGTCTGTTGCATCGGCTTAAGGTTCTGTATCTTTCCGAAAATGGCCTCACAGGCCCTATTCCAAGTGCCATAGGAAACCTAACGAGGCTTGAGGAACTTGACCTCAGTTACAATAGCCTGTCTGGGGACATCCCGCCAGGACTACTCCAGAATATGCCTAGCCTTGGGAAATTTTCTCTTGACAAGAATGAGCTAACTGGCCGCATACCTCTGTGCCTATTCAATAATACGCAATCTCTATGGTTCCTCAGCTTGATGAACAACAGCTTATCAGGTCCCGTGCCGCACAATCTAGGTTCCTTGCCCAAGTTGCAACTCTTGTACCTTGCGTACAATAACCTATCCGGTGTAGTGCCCCCAACCATCTACAACATGTCAAGGATGCAGGCTCTTTTTCTCTCCCACAACAATTTTGCAGGTCTCATTCCTAACAATCAAAGTTTTAGCCTTCCTCTACTGCAGTTCTTTGATCTCTCACAGAACAACTTTGAGGGTCCGATTCCGTCAGGACTCGCAGCATGCAAATACTTGAAATATCTGTATTTGTCACAAAATCATTTTGTGGACGTCGTTCCAACATGGTTGTCTCAACTACCACGTCTCACCGAACTTTCCTTGGCAAGAAATAACATTGCTGACTCTATCCCAGCTGTTCTTAGCAATCTCACCCATCTTACTGCACTAGATCTGGGAACCAATCAGCTAACAGGTCCGATTCCAAATTTTCTTGGGAATTTTTCGAAATTGTCTCAACTTTTTCTGCAGAATAATCAATTCTCGGGCTCAGTACCACCAGCACTTGGGAACGTTCCAGCTCTGAACCAGCTTCTTCTTGCATGGAATAATTTAGATGGTAATCTTAACTTCTTGTCTTCCCTTTCTAATTGTAGGAAACTCCAGGAACTTGACCTGGCCTTTAATTCTTTCATAGGGAGGCTCCCAGATCATATCGGGAACCTATCAACAGAGTTAATTACGTTTACTGCAGATAATAACAAGTTAAATGGTAGGCTTCCACCATCATTGTCAAACCTAAGCCACCTTCAAACATTAGATCTTTCTATAAACCTATTCACAGGGGATATCCCAGATCCTATCATGGTGATGCAAGAGCTCGTCATGCTTGACGTCACTAACAACGACTTGTCTGGCCCTATACCAACAGAAATTGGTATGCTTAGGAGCTTACAACAATTGTATCTTCAAGGAAACAAATTATTTGGCCCTATACCCAACAGCATTGGCAACCTTAGTGTGCTAGAAGAAATAAGCTTATCCAGTAACCAGTTAAATTCATCTATACCAGCAAGCTTCTTCCACCTGGATAAACTTATCGATTTAGATCTTTCTAACAATTTCTTTGTTGGTTCACTACCGAGTGATGTTGGTGGGCTAAAACAAGTGAATTACATTGACCTCTCTTGCAACTTTTTTCGTGGAACCATCCCAGAATCATTTGGACAAATTATGATGCTCAACTTCCTAAATCTATCACATAACTCATTTGATGGACAATTCCCAGATTCTTTTCAAAAGCTTACCAACTTAGATTATTTGGATCTCTCCTTCAATAATATCTCTGGTATCATTCCCTTGTTCCTTGCCAATTTCATTGGCTTGACATCCTTGAACCTCTCTTTCAATAAGCTAGAAGGGAAGATACCAGAGGGAGGTATTTTCTCAAACATCACGTCAATATCTTTGATTGGAAATGCTGGGCTATGTGGATCTCCCCATCTTGGATTTTCTCCTTGTCATGAGGACTCTCACTCAAATAAAAGAGACCTTCTAATTATCCTTCTTCCAGTTGTCACTGCTACATTTGTCTCCATTGTTCTTTGTGTCTACCTAATCATTAGAAGGAAAGCTAAGAGCAAGGGGGATGATGAAGCTATTGTCATTGATCCAGCCAATGCTGGAAGACAAATATTAGTTACCTACCATGAGCTCATTTCTGCCACCGATAACTTTAGTGATAACAACCTTCTGGGAACTGGAAGTCTTGCAAAAGTTTTCAAATGCCAACTGAGGAACGGTTTGGTTGCTGCAATAAAAGTTCTAGACATGCGACTAGAACAGGCCATTAGAAGCTTTGATGCCGAGTGCCATGTGCTTCGCATGGCTCGACACCGCAACCTGATAAGAATACTAAGCACATGCTCCAACCTGGACTTCAGAGCACTCGTGCTACAGTACATGCCCAATGGCAGCTTAGACAAGCTCCTACACTCTGAAGGTACATCAAGTAACTTGGGATTCCTGAAGAGGTTGGAGATCATGCTAGATGTGTCAATGGCGATGGAGTATCTTCACCATCAGCATTTCCAGGTTGTCCTGCATTGTGACTTGAAGCCTAGCAACGTCCTATTTGACAGCGACATGATAGCACACGTGGCAGACTTTGGCATCGCAAAATTGCTATTGGGTGACGACAGCTCCATGGTCACTGCAAGTATGCCTGGAACACTTGGGTACATGGCACCAGGTACTATCGCTAGCTTATACTATAGCTATACCTGAGTGGTGTGTATGATCGTCGTTGTAGTTCCTTCTGATTACTCAACTGTTGTAATATTTGATTTTCTGATTATTGAGCAGAGTATGGATCATTTGGGAAGGCATCCCGCAAGAGTGATGTGTTCAGCTTTGGAATCATGCTTCTTGAAGTCTTCACTGGAAAGAGACCCACTGATCCCATGTTCATAGGAGATCTAAGCATCAGGGAGTGGGTTCGTCAAGCATTCCTGTCAGAGATTGTCCATGTTGTGGATGAGAAGCTCCTGCAAGGTCCTTCCTCATCTGACTGCGGTCTGAAGCCCTTCTTTCCACCAATATTTGAGTTGGGTTTGCTCTGCTCAAGTGATGCACCTCACCAAAGATTATCGATGAGCGATGTTGTAGTGGCACTCAAGAAAGTAAAAAAAATGATTATATCAAATCCATCAGCAACAAGGCCTGAAGCTGCCCAGTGATCTCCCTTATCTGTATATCTCTGTTCTGTTCTTTCGCTTTTGCACTAGCAGAACAGCACCAGCAGAAGCAAACTCTTGCACATCTTACCTACTTTCTCCTTAAACCCCTGTTAGTTGTTGATGCTTTCTCTTAGTTGTTGAGCACGGGAACATGTTTTTTTACGCTTACGTTGTTAAATTTAAAGAAAACAATAAAAATCTTATCCGACACGGACACGTGGATCCGGTTTTCGATGACTTGTGTAAGTCATCACGATTCACTATGGCAACCTAATTTTTTTTGAGGATTTGGCCACTTTTTTTTTTGCGATTACGTAGTACAACGCAAATAGGCAGAAAGAGATAATTAGTTAGCACCATTTCCATTACATTATGAATCATTCATATACTATTCCATATCGCGCGTAGATTTCACGCAGGAGAGAATGTTATTATTTACCTTCATTGATTGGGTTTGTTAAGTCTTTGAATGGTGTTGAACAACCTTATCCCTGATTTTCAATAGGCTCGATGTAGCAACGTATCTGTAAAAATACACGAAGAGAGTCATTATAATTGAAGCAAAAAGGAAGAACACAATTCCTGAACTATAGAAACCAAGATGTGGGCTCTCTTAGAACAGTCACAACCTAGAAAATGACCGTTAGTTTCTACTTCTGTAGAAACCAAATCACACGACGAAATCACCCGTGGGGCATCCTCTTTCTCCCCCGCCCAATCCAATCCCTTCCCATCATCCCTTCCTCATTTTCTCTCTCTCCCCATCCTTCATTTTTTTTAGCCGGGAATAGTGTTTTTCTCTCTCCCACGACACGGCCTCCCGATCCTTATCCAGCGTGCGTTGGACAAAAATCAAATCAACCACACGGAATTTCCCCTCAAAAAAAAAAAAAAAATCAACCACACGGAGGCAGGTGTGTGGCTGCCACTGCCAGCCGTGCTAGGCGTAGCTTAGCCAGTTGAGCAGCATGCGGTGCCGGTGCGCGGAGCCAGCGCACAGTGCGGCGAGGCATCTTTGCCGGCGGCGTGCGGTGGAGCACGGTGCGGGCGTGCAGCCAGGTTGGCGACGAGCAGCTGCTGCTTGTTGGGCCATGCAGGTGCGTGCAAGGACGCGGTCGGCGAGGGCTCGACGCGACTTCACAGCCAAGAGGCGCGCATACGATGGTAGTTTTTCGGTTTGGACACGGAGTTTTGACGGCAGGGCACGCACACGAAAGCCGGGTTTTGACGGCAGGGCAGCCACACGGCGCGGGGGGCGTCCTGGAACGCGCGGCGAGCCCGTCCCAGTGCAGCTCGCGCGGCCACGCCTCGACGGTCACCCCCCCGACCTGCGCGTCACGGATTCCCTCGTAGAGAAGCACGCGCGTGGACGACGGCGCCGCCGCCGGCGGCCCCCGCAGCAGCGCCTCCACGTGCAGAGCCGCCTCGACCGCGGGGCTGAAGAGCTCCCACGGCGCGTCTCCTCGATGCCCCAGCGCCGCCCTCACCTCGGCGTCGTTCATGAACTCGGCAGCGCCGGCGAGCAGGGCCTCCAGCGACTCGTCCGCCACCGCGACGTCGAACAGCGACGCGAGCCCCGTGGCGGTGCGCAGCCACGACAGCACGCGGTACCACGCGTCCGTCGCCTCGCCCCACCGCTCCGCGACGGCCAGCGCCGCTGCCGCCGCCTGCATGGCCGCGGCCTCGCGCCACTGCTTCGCGCCGATGGGGCCCGTGAAGTAGAGGACGTCGGCGTGCGTGGTCACCTGCGCCACGGGGTGCACGAAGCCGTTGCCGATGGCCACGCCGCGCAGGTTGATCCGCTGCTGCTCGGGAAGCGTCGGGTTGGTGGCCAGGATGAGCGCACCGGCCGTGGGGATGGTCTTGCCAGCATAGCTCTCGCCGGCTCGGGAGTGTCGGCTTGAGCTGCACCACCGGAGTGGCAAGCGTGGCCGCTCGCCGTCCCGTCTCGACGCCCGCCGCCGTGCCGCCCCGTGACGGTGCGCGGAGCACCGCCGGGCCCCTGCATCGGCTGACGACACAGCTTCTGGTCGCTCCGTCTCCACCGGCCGCTCGCCGTCGGTGCCCCGGTGCTGCGAGCCACCGACCCCGCCGCCGTCACCCCCTGGGGAGCCCGACCACGACGTCACGGCTGCCGTGCCACCGGCGCCCGATGCGCCGCTGACGGAGGGTCGCCTCACGGAGATTGTCGTCATCCCTCGCTCTGCGGAGCTGAAAGGACCTCTCCCGCGCTGGTTGCGGTCGCCCTGAGGTCTCTCCGTCGTCAACATCTCTCGAAGACCTCGATGATCGCGTTCGAGGCTCTTCGTCGGTTCTGCACCCCCTTCACCTTGGTTTGGCGGCCATCCACCCATGGCCTCGGTGGGGGCCTTTAATCAGATCGAAACGTTCTACCGCTGAGCGCATCCTGGGGACGTCGTGCGCCGGCGTTGAAATCGCTCCGCCGGAGGTCGTCCTCGGCGAGCTATCCACCCCAACTCCGGACGACCATGCTGTTCCTGTTCCTGGGTGCGCGCGAGGACGTGACGGAGCTCCCTGCCCTATGTTACCTCGTCCGGTGCCGTATTGTCGAGTACCAGGATTGGTCTGTCCCTCGGCACTCTTCCGACGACGACGACGACGGGTACAGAAGGAATAGCGAAGACAATGATGACAGCAGCGACAGCAACCATAACCGCCGCCACCCTGGGCTGGACGGCGGGAGGAGTCGTTCGTCCTGGGGCGCCAAGTCTGTGCATCTCGCCGGCGCTGGAGACGACGCACCGTCGCTGGGCAACGGTCGGGGGCCCACATTCAGGTCGCGCAGGACCGTTCTCGTCGGTTCGTTCGCGTGCCCGGTCATTGGGCCGTGAGGCGGTGCGCTGCTGCGTGTCGGGTCGCGTGCGGTCGCTGGAACCGAGAAGGCGAAAAGAGGTCAGGCGGCCACACGCGAGGTTGACCTCTCGCTGTGTCTACATCAGTCGCCTGTGGCAGATTCGGGCAAATCTCCTGGCCCCACGCTGGAGCAGACGGTCGCGCTTCCTTCCCAGTCCGGAAAGGAGGAACACCAGCCTCGCATGTCGTCGAGCCTCCCCCGCCGGCTCCCCCTGTTGCCGAACCGCCTACACCCCCTGCGCCAGTTGCCGGTACGCATACAGCAACCGCGATAGCATCATCCTTCATCGACTCCATGATCAAGACTCCACCGCGCGCCCGGGCTGCGAGGGCCGTCGACGACGGTTGGGTTCCACGTCGCAGCGACCGTCTAGCCGCCAAATCGGCCTTCCGCGACCCTCAGCCGGAGAAGCAGGCGAGACGTGTCATGCTGAACAAGTGGGCAGGGAGACCCGAAGACGCGCTCTGACTAGGCACCTACGGGAAGGCGACGCCAGCACCAAGTACTTCCACCTTCAGGCCTGTCACCGGCGGCGGAAAAACTTTCTGTTCGCCATCACTCACCATGGACAGACCTTCACCGAGGAGGAGGCGAAGGCGGGTATCGTGTTCTCCTACTACAATGACCTGCTCGGCAAGGCCTTCTCCAGGCAACACCGCATCGACCTGGCTCAGCTGGATCTACCGAGGCTGGACCTCAGCGATCAGGTCACCCCGTTCACGGCAGAGGAGGTGGCGAGGATTGTTTGGGAAACACCGGCTGACAGAGCTCCTGGCCCTGACGGCTTCAGTGGCGCCTTCTATAAGGCGGCTTGGGAGGTCGTCGGACCCGATGTGGTGCGGGTGTTCCACGCGCTTTGGGATATGGACTTCAGAAGCTTCTACCACCTCAACGAAGCAATCATGGTGCTCTTACACAAGACTCAGGCACCGGAGGGCCTCAAGGACTACAGGCCGATCAGCCTTATACATTCCGTCGGCAAGCTGTTCACCAAGGGTTTGGCTCTCCGTCTGGCTCCCAGAATGCCAGAGATCGTCAAGATCAACCAATCCACTTTCATCCGTGGTCGAAGAATTCATGAGAACTTCCGTACTGTCCATCTGTCCTGCCGATGGCTGTACGCCCGTCGCTGTCCCACGATGCTTCTCAAGGTCGACCTCGCTAAGGCTTTTGACACGGTGGCCTGGCCTTTCCTGCTTGAGGTGCTTGACCACATTGGCTTCCCCCTGCGGTGGCGAGATTGGATCTCTGCCATGTTGGGAACGGCTAGCACCAAGGTGCTTGTCAACGGAGGGCCCGGACGTCGCATCTGCCATGCTTGCGGTCTACGACAGGGTGACCCGCTGTTGCCGTTCCTGTTCGTCATCGTCATGGAGGTCTTGAACGCGTTGATCACTGAGGCCGATCGCCGGGAGCTGCTGCCTGCTAACCCCCTTACCTGGGAACGTGATCAAATACCGTGCATCGATCTACGCTGATCGGCTGATGACCTAGTCATCTTCCTCGCGCCATCCGCCCAGGACTTCAGCTGCATCCGGCACATCCTCGAGCTCTTCGCAGGCTCGTCTGGGCTCGCCACCAACCTGGACAAGTGCGCGATCACCCTGATCCTCTGCTCCAACGACGACATCGCAGCCGTGCAGCAGGTCTTCCCCTGCCGTCTCCAGGATTTTCCCACAAAATACCTGGGGGCGACTCTGTCGCTCTCAAGGCTGAGCCGCGCCAACGAGCAAGCTCTTGTCGACGCGGTGGCGGCACGGATTCCTACCTGGAAGGCCGGCCTTTTGACGAACGCGGGAAGAGCAACCTTGACGCAGACAACCCTATCGGCGATCCCGGTTCACGTAGCCATATGCTGCGCTCTATCTTCATGGTCCATCGGGGAAATCGACAAGAGAAGATGTGCGTTCCTTTGGGCGGGCTCTGATTCCGTCGCCGGAGGGAAGTGCAGGGTCGCATGGCCCGTCGTGTGCTCGCCGAGGGACCTCGGCGGCCTAGGATTGCCTGACCTCAGGATCCTCGGTTTCGCGCTCCGCCTGCGCTGGGAGTGGCTACGACGGACTCAACTCGACGCGGCATGGGCGCACCTACCATCCAAGCCGGAGCGCGCTGTGGACCACATGTT